AAAGAATTTAGGAAAAAAAGGTGAACTTAGCCTTTAAGGAGCCTGATTAGTATTCCCAGTTCTTAAGCTGTTGATAATGGATAGGGAGAGGCTGTGATTAGTTTAGTTAAAGACATCTGGGCAAGCTGACAACACTCAGTCCAAAAAAATGCCGTGTTGTTCGCACATAATAGGATTTATGTACTGAATGAATTTCAATTGGTATTTTTCTGTTCTTACAGAGTGTTTAACCACTTATCCTCCTGAGGATTTACCCAATTCCTGACTAGACCATTTTTTGCATTACGGCACTGCGTTACTTTAACTGACAATTGTGCAGTCATGCAACGCTGCACCCAAATTAAATTTACATTATTTTTTTCCCACAAATAGAGCTTTCTTTTAGTGGTATTTGATCGCCTGTGTGGTTTTTATTTTTTGCGCTGTAAGCAAAAAAAGACCGACAATTTTGAGAAAAAAACAATATTTTGGACTTTTTGCTATTAAACATGTCCAGTAAAAAAAAAATTAAAAAATCAAATGTCGTCATAAATTTAGGCCAGGGCCTCCTTGTGTTGGTACAGCCAAAGCAACGTACGGGTACGTTGCTTTGCCTGTAGCTACTGCCCGGCTGCAGTACATTGTGGTCAGGAAGCGGTTAAAGTGTTACTAAACCCTCAACAGTAAAATCAGTCTGTATATGCAGTAAAGCATGCTTGCTATACTCACTGTGGAACCTAAGGGGTTAATCCTCTGCATTGTATAAAAAGGCTGTTTGATCCTTTCTTCTCTGCCCTCCTCTTGTTGAAATGACCACCTGATACAGACTGAATCTGTAGTCACATGCTCAGTTTGGTGTGTATTGCTAGAGAGGGTTTTATTTTTCTTGGGAGAGTGTATGTGATAAGCACAGGGCCAATCAGTACTGTCCAGAAAGAGGGTCAGGACTTTCACATCCTTCTAGAGCAGAAAGAAAACTCCTCCTACAAGCTTTAACCAGTGCTCTGCTGAAGTCACAAGACTGTTCTAAACTTTGATGAGAAAAGGTATTTAGCAGTTTGTATTTATTAAATAATTGTATTTCCATGTTTTGTGTACTGTGGGAGATCAGATATAGCGAATGCAGGGTCCTGGGTTTAGTAACACTTTAAGGTTTCTTGGCTGTCGCTTGGCAATTCAAACTTTCAGCTCCCTCCATAAATTTTCTATAGGATTAAGGTCTGGAGACTGGCTAGGCCACTCCATGACCCCAATGTGCTTCTTGAGCCACTCCTTTGTTGCCTTAGTGGTATGTTTTGGATCATTGTCATGCTGGAAGACCCATCCGCGACCCATCTTCGGTGTTCTTGTTGAGGGAAGAAAATGCTCATCCAATATTTTACAATATATGGCCATGTTCATTGGCCCCTCAATACGGCAAAGTCGGCCTGTACCTTTAGCAGAGAAACAGCCACAAAGCATAATGTTTCCACCTCTGTGCTTGACTGTATAGATGGTGTTCTTAGGGTCATAGTCAGCATCTTTCTTCCTCCAAACACAGCGAGTCAAGTTAATGCTAAAGAGCTAAATTTTGTCTCATCTGACCACAGCACTTTTTTCCCAATCCTTCTCTGAATCATTTATATGTTTATTGGCAAACTTCAGACAGGCCTGTACATGTGCCTTGTTAAGGAGGGGGACCTTGCGGGTGCTGCAGGATTTTAATCCATGACAGCGTATTGTGTTTCCAATGGTTTGTTTGGTGACTGTGGTCCCAACTGTCTTGAGATCATTCACAAGCTCCTCCTTCACTTTTCTCATGATCATCCTTACCCCATGAGGCGGAATCTTGCATAGAGCTCCAGACCGAGGGAGATTGATGGTTATTTTGTATTTCTTCCATTTGTGAATATTCGCCCCAACAGTTGTCTCCCTCTCACCAAGCTTTTTGCTGATGGTCTTGTAACCCATTCCAGCCTTTTGCAGGTCTACAATCTTGTTCCTCATGTCCTTTGACAGCTCTTTGGTTATTTGTCCATGATAGTGAGGTTTGAATGGAAGAAAGAGATTCTGTCTTTTATACACATAACGAGTTGTTGTTAGAAGCACCTTCTTAAATTGACAATACTGATCTGTATACCGCATGAGCACATAGCCAGTCTGTGGGAGCCAGAATTTTGTTGGTTGGTAGGGGATCAAATACTTATTTTACTCACTGAATTGCAACTTAATTTATAACATTTGTATCATGCTTTTTTTGGATTTTTGGTTAATATTCTGTCTTTATCATTTAAAATACACCTATAATAAAAAATATAGACCCTTCATTTCTTTGTAAGTGGGCAAACTAACAAAATCTGCAGGGTATCAAATAATTATTTCCCCCACTGTAAGCACACCCTTCTGCCTGCATACCAGAGCTAAGGGCAGATGAATTCCAGGAGATAAATGCTATATGAATCATCTGCCCTTACGCAAGATGGCCGTAACCAGAAATTATAGGGGTGTTTTTCAAAGTGCTTTCTCAGCAAAATAAAGCATGTAGACATGGATGGAAGGGTGAGTTTGCTTTGAATATTAAAAATAAATTAAATAGCACTTTTAGTTTGTGTAGTTCTACTTTAAGATATCCATGGACATAAAACAGCAGTCAGAAAATCTGGCTGTGACTCAGTAATCCTGTTGAGCAATTATGCCGTAAAAGGTGACTGGTTCTTTCCCCAAGTATGGCCCCCATGGCACTTTCTCCAAGACTCAGGTATAGCCTATAAACATACAACTGCTTCCAGATCCAACCATTACCAGTTAGCTTTGGCAACATCTATAATACTCTATGAGATCTATGATCTCTCTATGATACTCAAAGACCACACTCAAGTCCAAGACAGGAAAACGTTTTCACAGCACATTTGGCATTAGCCAATGACCCAAAGAAGAGTTTGAAGGAACTTAATACAATAGAATGTATGAACTGAACACATGCATTCCACATTCACACTTCATGGGAGGGATCTTTATTTGTCACTCCTTATGAATGGATCTGGAACCCTGAATTTGCTGTGCTGCATATCTATGTACAATAGAAGAAATCTAAGTAAATCTTCTAATCTGAGAAATGTTAACCTCTGCTTGTAAGCAAAGTAAGTAGGGGATCAATAGGAAAATTAAGTAAATTAACTTGCTTTCAGCCTTTCCATGTTTTTATAGATGTACCCCAGGGCCTTAAGGTTGAGGATTGCATAGGAATCATTTAGACCAGGGGTGTTCAATCTACGGCCTAAGACGGCTATGAATGCTGGCCAAAATATTGATTTTTTTTTTTTTTCTTTTGTAAAAATGCATTTTCACTTAGCGAACACATGCGGCCGAAAAAAATTTGACAGTGTCTCTTCACTGAACTTTTAAGTTTTATCTTCCCAAAGAAAAATCTCCCTCTCTTCACAATCATGCCTGATTCATGTCATCAGTTTTCGGCAGCACCAATGTTTGTGAGCAACTATTTTAAATGATGAAGCACGCGAAGGACAAAATGTGAACCAAAATATCTGATGAGGACCTTGAGATCTCATTGAGAATTGCTATTGCATCAATTGAACCAGATATTGATGACTTAGTTCATCCAAAACAGTGTCAAATGTTGCAATAGCCTTATGTTGCCCTCTTTTCAATTTTATAATAAAAAATATTACAAAAAAATGAAGTTTTATTACGCAGACATGTACATTCGCTCTATCAGTGACAGCAGTCACCGACCCAATAGCAGCACAAGACAAGGACTCAGTGAGGACACCTACACCCACTGGGCCAGAGACGGGAGAGATCATTTAGGTGGAAACCATAAATCGTTCTGCAGCTAGGACTATAGCCCTTCTAGTAGTAACTACTGGATCCTCTGTCCAGGAATTCCTCCATACAGCCAAATTGAGGAGGATCTAGGGTTGGAGAGGTAAATTGGGAGATGCTGGTTAGCTCTCCAGAAGAGGCTTTCTGTGTAATATGTAATATAGTTCAGGAATTTTGTCCTCAGTTGCCATTCCCTTGGGCAACCCATGCACCGCTTACCCCATCCAAGTTCTAAAAACTTCAAAAAGCAAAGCCCAAGGACTGTCAAATTCTGCAATAGTCTTATGTTGCCCTCTTTTAATTTTATATTAAAAAATATTACAAAAAAATGATGTTTTATTACTCAGACATGTACATTCACTCCTATCAGTGACAGGCGCACTGACCCAACAGCAGAAGAGGACAAGGACTCAGTGAGGACACCTACACTCCCTGGGCCAGAGAGGGGAGAGAGCATTTGGGTGGAAACCATAAATCGCTCTGCAGATGGGACTATAGCCCTTCTAGTAGTAACTACTGGACCCCCTGTCCAGGAATTCCTCCATACAGCCGAATTGAGGAGGATCTGAGGTTGGAGAGGTAAATTTTGAGATGCTGGCTAGCTCTCCAGAAGAGTAGTTCAGGAAGTTTGTCCTCAGTTGCCACTCCCTTGGGCATCCCATACAGCCCTTACCCCATCCAAGTTCCAAACCCCTAATAAAACTTCAAAAAGCAAAGCCCAAGGACTGGCTTCTGTCTCCTGGTACAAGTCTGGATAGAAAATGTATTTTGCCTGACTGTGCAGGAATATAGGGGGAACCCAAATCTCTTGTGACTCCTAAGGGGGTAGTGCTACATGTGAAATCAAATATATAATACAAAGGTGTTAACAAGATCTATGCAAGAAATTTTTGTTTGTTTTTTGCAGTTGATCGTAGAGTTACAACTCACAAAGAATCGGAGCAAAAGCTTCCATCCGGCTAATGGGAATTAAAATCAGCACAGTTGTGTTTCTAATCCATGCCCGTTCTTCCAAATACAAACAACACAAACTATATTATATTATATATCATATCAATATATATCATATATTATATTATGTATCACATAATTGAAAATGTGCAAATTTAATATCTAAATAAAGGGATACAAAGCTAGAACCTGTGTAACATTCTCAGGGTTGTCACTAGTTGTATACTAAAACAAATGACATTACTCACAGTTTGGCTTCCACTGAGCAGGAGATGTGAAGGAGGACTAGACCCGCACACAGCACCCAGGACACCATTGTGCAGGGCTGCGAGGTTTGGAATGACTGTGTATAAAGCTTGGCACTGCATTTTTATGTTTCACATTCCCTACACATCCCCCTCCTACGCTGTTGTAAGTGTTCGCTGTGCTGACATTGACCACTGGACAGCAAACATTCACTAAGCACGTACCTGTCATCACAAGTATTGCGGGGGATTAGGGCACTTGCAAATAATTAAATATTTTTTAACTATTTTTTTAAAAATGTGATCAATTTCCCCATTGCAGCTTCATTGGAACAGGCATATTTCCACATAAAAATGACAACACTGCCAATGAGTAATACTGTTTTTGACTTGTGAAACTTCTGTACTACGAACATTTTTACAACGTACTACTTGCTGTAGATTTTGTATGCTGAGGGAGGTTTCAGTAAGATTATACAATTTCTGATTTTTTTTTTTTTTTTTGGTTAACCACTTGCCTACCAGGCACTTATACCCCCTTATTTACCAGGCCAATTTTCAGCTTTCAGCGCTGCCGCACTTTGATTGACAATTGCGCTGTCATGCAACATTGTACCCATATGTAATTTTGATCATTTTTTTCACACAAATAGAGATTTCTTTTGGTGGGTGGGTATTTACTTTTTCGCTATAAATAAAAAAATTGCAAAAAAATTTGAAAAAAAAAAAAAAGTTTCTTTGTTTCTATTATAAAATTTTTCAAACAGGTAATTTTTCTCCTTCACTGATGTGCGTTGATGAGGCAGCACTGATGGGCACTGATAGGCGGCACTGATGGGCACTGATAGGCAGCACTAAAGGGCACTGATAGGCAGTACTAATGAGGTGGCACGGATAGGCGGCACTGATAGGCAGCACTGGATAGGCGGCACTGATAGGTGACACTGATGATGGGTACTGATAGACGGCACTGACTGGCATCACTGCTGGGCACTGACTAGCGGCACTGACTGGCACAACCGCTGGGCACTGACTGGTGGTGGCACTGACTGGCAGCACTGGTGGGTGGCACTGGTGGGTGGCACTGGTGTGGGTGGCACTGGTGGGCACAGGTGGGGTGGGCACAGGTGGGTGGCACTGCTGGGCACAGGTAGGTGGCACTTCTGGGCACAGGTGTGTGACACTGCAGAGTGGCACAGGTGGGTGCACTGCTGGGCACAGGTGGGTGCACTGCTGGGCACAGGTGGGTGATCTGCTGGGCACAGGTGGGCGGAGCTAGTGGGCGCACTGCTGGGCACAGGTGGGCTGAACTTGTGGGTGGCACTGCTGGGCACCGATCATCAGGGCACTGATCATCAGTGCCCTAATGATCGGTGCCGATCCCTGCTCTGACAACTGCCGGTTCTCGGCAGTACTTTCCTCACGATCTGACAGCGTGAGGAAAGTGCAGCCGAGAACCGGCACTTGCATTTCCCTCTGATCAGCGTGTCATTGGACACCGCTGATCACGTGGTAAAAGGCCGCTGTGATTGGCCTTTTACCACATCACGTGATCAGCTGTGTCCGTGTTACGGAGATCGCCAGGTGCGCGCCCCCTGGGGCGCGCAGGAGAGCGCGTTCTGGGAGGCCGTCATATGACGTCCACCCAGAACTGGCCGGCCGCAGTGCAGCCATCATTCGGCTAACTGCGGTCGGCAACTAGTTAAAGTGGTTGTAAACCATTTTATATACCCAGTGAAGTGACTGGCCTCAGGTGATACACAGAGATGAAACAAATCCTCCTACATAAGTTGTACCTGTTTATCTCCATCAATCTGTCCACTACATCCATTCAAAGTACAGAATTTACACAGGATCTCTCAGTTCTGAAAAGCAGGGGGTAGGAATCTGGTGTTACATCAGTGGGGAGAGCTCTGGGAGCTGATTGGAAGGAAGAGACACACCGCCCTAAACACAGGAACAGAACTAAGGCTGTCACTCTGCTGGAGGTTCCTCCCCTGTCACCATTTTTCTCTTAGTGTCAGCAAAACTTGTCAGAAGTGACACATGCAGATAGCACAGCAATGGGCAAACTAAGGCCCGCGGGCCGTATACGGCCCGGCGGACCTTTTAATCCGGCCCGCGGAGCGTGATACAAAAAAAAAACAGCCAGGGCAGCGCGCTCAAATGCAATGATTGGCCAGTCTCGCTGCCACTCACATCCTGATAGCCAGTGATTGGCTGTCAGGATGTGTGTAGGCGGGGCAGCGTGACGAACGTGAGGGGAGCTAGGCTCCTCTCACAGTCCGCCCTGAAGACCGGAACGGCGCGGGAAAAACGGCGAGAAGAACGCGCGGAGCAAAGGTAAGTAAATTGACACAGGGGGGACTTGGCTTACTACTTGCTACTTACTTACTACTACTATATGAGGGATGAATTAATATGGGGGATGAATTAATATGGGGAATGAATTACTATAGGGGGATGAATTACTATATGGGGAATGAATTACTATGGGGGATGAATTACTATATGGGGGGATGAATTACTATATGGGGGATGAATTACTATGGGGATGAATTACATATGGGGGATGAATTACTATATGGGGGATGAATTACTATATGGGGATGAATTACTATATGGGGGATTAATTACTATGGGGGATGAATTACTATGGGGGATGAATTACTATATGGGGGATTCATTACTATGCTTACTATGGGGGAATATTACTATACTTACTATGGATGACACATACACATCATTCATCTACTCTTGGTCCGGCCCCCGGGTCCAATATATGAACCCATTGCGGCCCTCAAGTCAAAAAGTTTGCCCACCCCTGAGATAGCAGATGAAGGAAGTAGCAAACAGCAATAATACTTAGTGCTCTTAATCAAGACAAGTACACACTATAGAGGGACATGCTTTGTTCATATTTCATGACTGAGGTATATAATCACTTTGAAGTGGTTGTAAACCCTTACATACACCCAGAGACGTGATTGACCTCAGGTGATACATAGAGATGAAACAAATCTTCCTACATAAGTTGTACCTGTTTACTAGCAGTCATCTTCTCTGTACATCCATTCAAAGTCTGATTTTTATAAAGCTTGTATTACAAAAAAGGATAATTGCCCGTGGAGTGCAAATAATCAATGAATAAATCTCAACTTTTGACAAATAATAACTATAAGTATTAAATATAAATTATGCATATAATGTCCTCTTGACATTTAAACAAAATAAGTGTTCATAAAATTGATGAACATCCTCATTAATTGCAGATTGAGGATATTCACCAATATTATAGACACTTATTTTGTTTAAATATCAAGAGGACATTATATTCATAATTTATATTTAATATTTATTATTTGTCATATTGCACAAAAGTTGAGATTTATTCATTGATTATTTGCATAAGGGAGGCGCTACAATTATCTTTTTTGTAATATTTTCTTTGTTGGCTGTGGGAATACAATTTTTTGTATGCAGCCACCTGGTATAGGTGCATTGTTTGGATATTATATCTATTATTGCGTTATCATATATACATAGGCTTTTCTTCACTATATTTAATTTTATTTCTTAGATACACATTTTGTACATAGAGGCGCGGGATACATTTTGTATAAAAAATTTATAAAGCTTGTCTGAGAGTGCAGAAAAAGGAGGTGGAGAGCTGAAATTACACTCTACATAGCTCAGTGAGATGAGCTCTGATAGCTGATTGAAAGGAAGGGACACACCCCCTTCCACGCAACTTACAGGAACAGAGTTGAGGCTTTCAATCACAGCCTGCTTGCTTCCCTGTCACCATTTTTCTCTTGGTGTCATGAACACTTGTCAGAAGTGACTCATACAGATAGCAGAGGAATGGAGCAGCACACGGAAAAGACACTTAGTGCTCTTGGTTGAGACAAATACACACTATAGAGGGATATGCTTTGTTCATATTTCATGTCTGAGGTTTACAACCACAGACACGTTTAGCTGCAAAAGATACAAAATAAGCACAATGGACATTACCTACATTCAGTGTGATGTGTCCCATATGCTTCTGTTTTCTAGTACAGTAGAAATCTTCCATCCTCCGATGCCCCCTTACCCCTGCCACCACAATCTTTCAGTGCAGCAGGGGTTAATAGAACAAGAGAGCACGACTATGGCCACGCTTTCTGCCCAGCTCCTCAATTCATAGAAGCCACACTACAGCTTTTATGAATGAAACATGATTTCTGAATTGAGGATGGGCTGATGATTGATAGGTCCCTCCCCCCTCCATTCATAGATTGTGTTTCATTCATTGAAGCTGTAGTATTGGCTTCTATGAATGAAGCAGCTGGGCAGAAAGGACGGGAATATTTTAGCTGTCTTGATGAGAGCCTGTGACAGCAGCCAAAGTGGTGAAATAGTAGGCTGGTTCCAGATTACATTTTGTGCATCAGGTGTGTTTTCTAGACCTTACAACAAAGCCATACTTTTCCTGACATTCTGCAATAGGGCAGTGTGAATCACCATGACTAATTTGAGATTCATGTGTGTTTCTTAAAGTGGACCTTCACTTTAAAGTGAAAGTTCCACTCACCCTCCTCCTTCATCCCTATGGTATCAAAATAGTTTTTTTTTCTCTGACAGGTACCCAATCCCTTTTCTGCAATTCTTGTCTAGGTGAGAATTATATAAGCTTGATCCTCTCCTCCACCCTCATCCTCCTGTTGCACGTAACATGCCCCAAGAGACCAGTCTTAAAGTGTTACTAAACCCAGGACCCTGCATTCACTATATCTGGTCTCCCACAGTACACACAACATGGAAGTGCAATTATTTTAGTAAATATAAACTGCTAAATACTGTTTCTCATCAGCAGTATACAGCAGTCTTGTGAGTTCAGTGTCCAGCTGAGCACTGGTTAATCTCATAGGAGTTTCATTCTCCTCTGACTGTCCTATGAAGCTGCATGACCCCTGACCCTCTGTCTGGCAGTGCTAATTGACTGTGCTGATCACATGCACCCTTCCAAAGAACAAAACTCTCTAGCCATACACCCTAAACTGAGCATTTGCAGAGTGATTCTTAGAGCTTGTAGGATCAGCAGATTGATTAGGAACAGTAGGAGAAGGGGAGCATCAGAGGAGTCAGGGTCAAACATCTTTTTTACACAAGCAGAGGATTAACCCCTTAGGTTTTCACAGTGAATAAACCAGCATGCTTTACTGCATATACAGACTGATTTTTACTGTTGTGGGTTTAGTGACACTTTAAGTTGGGTACACCCTTGCCGAAAATCAGATGGTTTAGCAAAAATCTGCTGACTTTCAGGCTAGGTTCACATCTGTGTGGGTGGTGCCGCTGCGGATCCACACAAAAATCCATCACCCGCACAGAGGAATGCTGACCCCGCACTAATTCTAATTGCACGCCACCGCACTGGGCATCGCAACCGCACTAAGAACCGAGGTTCCCGTGCGGGCTGCATTTTCCGAAGAATTACAGGGAGTTCTTCACTGAGTGTCACGGGGCATGGGAGTCCATTCAAATGAATGGGCTCTTGTGCCCACGCAAAAACGCGGCCCGCAGGAACGTGGGGATGTGAACGTAGCCTTAGTCAGTGTGCATAGCTGGCTGCATGCGATGATCAGTGTATATTCTGGAGTGGGGGGTGTGTGTTGGGGGATACAGAATACAATAGCTCACAGGGGAGATCGTCACACCAATATCGCTTGTGTTGGTATGGTAATCTGTCAGATTTTCTTCGTTCAACTTGCTGGTTGAACAAAAAAAAAACCAAAACTTGCAGTGTATATTGGGTTTTAAAGCACCGCATGATCTCACACATGCACAGTGGGGAGAAGACTGATTCATCAGAAATTCACAGCCAGCAAACACATCCAAGATGGTGGCACCGGGGACATGAAGCCTGGTGAAGAATCAGCTCCAGTGAAGACAGAACTGGACTCCTGGGATACAATATCTGTAGATGCTGCTTTTTTTTTTAAAGCAAGGCCAAAGTTCCTCTTAGAAAGATCTGAACAAGAGTGTCCATGTACGCTTCATATCAATATCACTCATTCAGCTGCTTAGGTGAAATCTCATTTTTTTCTTTATTTGGACAGGTATTTTTTGTGGGGGGTTGGTTGTTGGGAAGTTTAGTTCTTCAGTTTTCTTTATACAGTATGTATATTTCTTGTGTACTCTCGCTTTTGATTTTTTTATTTATATTTTTATTGTTTAATTGTTTGTTTGTGTAGCCGGGTGTCCTGCTATGTGCATGACTCTCTCTGTCAGTCCCTGCCACTGTGCAGCCACTGTGCAGGAGCGGGCTGAGCTCTTCTGTGCCCGTTCTCCTCCTTTGTCTCTGCCGGGTGTGAATCTGCAGCGGCTATGACAGGGGAGAGGCATAGCTGTGGGCTCTGTGTGAAGATCCCCTGCTCACTCCTGCTTCCCATCCCTCTTGGCAGCAGTAACTTGAGTCAATCAGC